CAGCAAGATGTTGGAGATGTTCTATCGGTCTGTTGTGGCCAGTGCACTTTACTTCGCCGTAGTCTGCTGGGGAGCAGCATTGGAGCCGGAGACACCAACAGACTTAATTAAAACCTTTTAAACCCTAGCCCTATTTGTAGGCCTCTGCTCGAAAATGGCATACCCATACTAAAGAGACCACAGTTCTGTAACTACAAGGTCTATTTTAATAATTTTTGATGCTATAATCAGATAACACTTGTGAGATGGGTAAAGGTTGTGTATATGTTGCTGGTTAATATAGTACATGAAGATATTACACAGCTCAAATTGAAAATATTCAGGTTCGCCTGAAAAAAAAGCACTTTTATTGATATTATGTTTTTGAAATAATGCAGCTGGCTGCCTAAAAACTCTCCCAAATCATAGCACAACCGATCAGTAGTTGTTGAATAAAGGTTGGCTGGGATAAAGTGAAGAATAAGAGGCTTTAGTACAGAGAGGTCACGCGAGGTCGTCATTTTGGAACCAGCTGTTGCAGCTCTTACATTGTACTTTTATATACTATATAACTATATATTTCACTTTATTTTTATCACTCATATTATTCAATACATCCAAATACAGCCGTTTGGAATCATTTTGAGAGCCAGGGTCCTCTCAGAGCCCGTCTCTGGCTCTCATCCATAGGATTTTCTCAGTTGCTGTGTGTGTATGGGGCTGTAGCTCAGTCGGTCGATTTTCGGTCGATTTCCGTCAATGAGCCCGCCTTCGACGTGTCAGAGTCTCAGGAAGGTGGGCGTCGAAACCGGGTGTTGATTGACAGACTTTTCAGCGAGTAAAGATGCAAAGAGTGTGAGTATCCCCGAGCATAAAATTCCATTCGCCAAAAGTCTGACCACCCACCCCCGGGTCCCACAAGTTAGATTGACCCCCCCTTCTACAGGAAACAGATGAAAACCAGACAGGATGCAGTTGCCAACAATATTTCTAGGATAATTTTCGACGTTATGTTTGTGTTTTCTTCATAAAGGTGAGCAAAAGCCAACGATTTTTTCCGGTGAAGGCAACTGTTATGTTGCCGTTGTTCACTCACAGCTTTCTAGTCGTTTCACGGAGAGAAAAACCGAAGGTATTTATGCGTTCTGTGTCAAACGCTAATGCTCAGCGATGTGTGGATTAGCAGTGTAGCAGTTAGCATGGTGTTAAAATATCGAAGGGCAATAAATATAACGGCGATTTTTGCACAGGAATTCGTGATTTTATGCCACATTTTCTAGTTGCTTATATTAGTAGTGTATAGTTGTGTTTGGAGTGTGTAAAAAGTGACTTACAGTATATGATAGTGTTGCCATACGTTGCTGTTTAATCCGGTATATAAAATGTACACATGTACAATATTCCCTATCAATATGGGCCTTTTTTGGACAATATTTGCAACCCCCCCTAACCCCGAGAGCCCCCACATTTGGGGGCGTCGTGTGCAAGAGGTTTTAACAAACTGGTTAAGAAGGCCGGCTCCATCATTGGCTGCAAACAAGATATTCTGGAACAGGTGGTGGAGAGGAGGACACTGAAGAAACTATTATCCATATTGGATAACCCATTATCCATATTGGATAATTATTCTATTGTATATATTGTGCATTTTTTAATACTTAATATTTTTGGTTACTCTGTTGCTTTGCTTACTTTGTATGTCTTGCTGCTGTAACATACAAATTTCCGCCTGGGGATGAATAAAGTACATATCTATCTATCTATCTATCCATCTTAATATTGACATGCAGAAGTCCTAAAGTCATGACAATCATCAAGCATGTCAAGTTTGGGACAGTTTTGGCAAAGTACAGTCGAGTTACAACAGCATGATGGATGATGGTGAACCATGTGAAATGGCTGCCACACCACATCCACGTCGTTCGATGAAACCTCAAGCTTTTAGTAACTTTTAATCACTAAGGTCGACTGTGGCTAAGCGGATAGCAGGGCCGTCTTTCAATCAGAGGGTCGGCGGTTCAATCCCTGGCTGAATTGTAAGTCGCTTTGGATAAAAGCGTCTGCTAAATGAGTGTAATGTAATGTAAGGTTTCTAGATTGTTCTGACCAAATTCTAAATCATCCAACCAATATATTTCCTTTCCTGTTTAATTTGCCTCCTTTTGTAGAATTCCAGGCTCATCACCTACACATAAACACATTTTGTTCAACTGTTCACAAACAAAAATTGAAAGCACAAAACAGGGATCTGTGAGAGAAAACTGCTGCGTAAATGAGCCGAGTTCTCCAGGAACAGCCCGGACTCATTCCTGGGACTTCAAATACCAACGTTTTGTTACAGCCATCTGACACCGACGCACAAGGCACCCTTTAGTGTCTGTATGAGACACACCAGGCTTTCCACTTACTATAATGTATACCCATCGACGTCATTGACACCAAGTGTAGGGAGAAGTTGGGGTGGACGGATGGGTCCAAAAAAACACTATCACCCAGGAGACGGCTGGTTGTGTCCCATGTGAAAACAAAAGTCAATTTTAAGTCACATCAAGTTAAGTAGTCCCCATAACTAGCCTGCGTCATTAATACTTATTTTAACCCAAACAATGATCTTTTACTAAAACTAACCAAGTAGTTTTGTTGCCTAAACCTAAGTGACACCAAGTGCTACCCAGTGCGTTATGAAGTGATGCCAAAGGGTCCTGACCAAGCGTCCGCATGTAATGAGAATGGGTTGCCAGGAACAATAGAGATCTTCTCCCAGATATCATTTGATTGTTTTAGGATGTGTGGTCTGTATTGACGCTTCAGACATGCTGAAGACTGGTGCCCCGTTCTTATTAGTAATTACTAATTAACTTATTGATGTTAATAACTCCATTGATGTTGATAGTTTAGTTTCATATTTGCTGATAACCAAACACGCTCCTTTACGTTCCCAACACTTATCAACTTATCGTACGATATAAGGACATGACCTCTATCATTTTTACCTTATCAACTTATTGTACGATATAAGGACATTATCTCAATCATTTATGTTATCGACTTATATTACCATATATGGACATGACCTCTATCATTTTTGCTGCCCCTGATATTGACAGTTGTGTTTACATGAGTTTACGTTTACATAAGAGTGTCTCTAACATTCTAACCAACATAATGCCAGAATGAACAACAGGGTTTCCCCTACCATTAAACGACTTGGGCATTTGGCAGAGAATGCACATTTAAGTTGAAAGAGACAGAGAGTCCATTGTATTTATTGTTTTGGCTGTGTGGCTTTTTTCTTTTATGCTTTGTTTTTTAAGGATATTTTTCGATTTTCCTCACATTCCAATGTCTGAATATCATTACAAATTAAACGTTTATTGCTATTTGAAATGGTGTACTTGCATTATGCTGTTATAAAACAGTCATAATGTTGTTTAACGTAATTATTTCTGGGACAATATGTTGTCCAACAAAAGTTGTGACAGGCCTAACTCAGCCCTAGCCCAAACCTTGGAAGACCAACCCACAAAAGTATGTGAACATGGTGCCATAGATACTTTTAAGGCCTATAGTGTATTTCTCTATCGATAAGACCTTATTTTCTCTGCAGGTTTGCTCTATGTGGCAGTTCATTCAGACACAGCACCGAAGACCCCAGAGACTGGCCATCGCTCTCACTCCGTCAAACAGATAAACACAACAGAGAGAAGAGAAAGAGATAGAGACAGAGCAACAGAATGGGGTTTGAGCTGGAGAGACGAGAGGAAGTGGGGAAGGGAGAGTCCGAGCTAGTGGAGGCACATTGTTCCTGTCTGACTCATTCAGGCCTCACCTACAGCTGATGCTCCCTGCAGCCAGGTCCTTTCACAACTTATCACAGTCCCAGAAACTACTCCCCACCGACAGGAATTTACTGCCAAATCCAATAATTACTTTGCAGATTTTGGTGGCTATTGCATTATGGAAGCCTATTCACATATACAGTCTCCAGTGACTGTGACCCCAAGTCAAAATTGTCAATTTAATCATAATTAATAATTGCACTACTGCAGTATTTCAATCCTGCAAGTCAAAGTCATTAAAGTAGCTCCAAGAACTCCCGGACTATATTGTCTGTAGGAAGTAATCAACTTTGGACAGGCCTCAGTAGTTCATTAATATAGCACCTCCAGAAGAAAAAGAGGAGGGTATGGTGACTTTGTTACAGGATATTTCTTTCTTTAGACTGTCTGTTTGAGATTAAGGCATGGTATACAGTGAAAAAGTATTCATTTTGTATTGTATTCAGCAGAGATTGATCAAGGTGTTATTTCTTACACTATATGGATTAAATTAGTGGTGGAGGACAAATATTAAAGATTATTTTTGGAATCCTAACCAAATATTAGTAGTAAGTTATAAGCAGCAGTTGAATAAAAACAGTTTTTTGTCATATTTGCTGTCACTATATCCTGACAGTAGTACATAAAACAGATTTTCCAGATTTGACTGTTTTCAACCTACTGTTCATGATGACCGATACCCTTCCAATTAGCATGCTAGCGATTAACATAAGCTGACTATTGTTATGATTATGGTAAGGTAAGAGTGCTGTAAAAATTCTGCTATGGTGACAAAATACAGTATAAACTCATACAATTCTGTGAATTTAAGTTTACATGCATGGCTGGGCTCTGTGTATGTTAGCAACTAGCATTAGCGCTAGCTATGTGTCTATCTTGGTGACCAAAGCTGCTTCCATATAAGTCACCTGGCTGCAGAACAGCCAATATGTTGAATTCAAATACGTTGCACTACAATGTCAAGATTAAGACCTGAATCCATCAACAACACTACTAAATACACATAAACATTGTGTTTCAGCTGAAAAAAAAGTAGTTTGGGGATTTAGTTACTCTTTAAGTGACAAATCAAAAACAAACGCAGTTTTCAAAAGGCAAATGATTTAGTAAGTGGAAGGCAGAAAATGTCTATAGCCCGTTTCATTACAAAGCACCACCAGTATGTTAGAGATCTGTGCTTACCCTGAAAGCTCCCGACTGACAGGTAAAGCCAGGTGAGTGCTGGGATGAAGAGCAGGGCGAGAGAGGCCGCCAGGAACTTCCTGCGCCCACGACACATTCCCAGCATCCTTTGGTCCGAAGCGAATGGAAAGAGAGGTAAAATGACCTCTATGTGGGTAGCAGCTGTTGTCCAGGCTGATTCATGGCACTAGAGGAGAGGGGAGAGAAGGAAAAACTATGTTAAAGAAGATGCTTCCGTTCCACATCCTGTATGGACAGCTGAGCACATGGCGTCATCTGAATACATCTGAACCACCTGCGCCAAAAGAACCATCTTGAGTAATATACTCAAGATCCTGTAGTACCGTTAATAATTATTCATTGTAGGCTTTAAATGTACAACAGTAAAACCATCTCATCTCCTTCATGTTGCCGGCCTCGACTGGCCAGTGAAATGCAGGCAGCCTGTCAGACACTATTGGCTCTATTAGTCGGTTTATAAACAGTTTTATGTTAATCACGTTGTCATACTGCTTAAAACTAATACAATACAAGTTGGATTTAGCGCCGTCGGCACAGTTTGCTGATGTAGGCTACTACTGAATTTACCAGAATGTGTCATAATGTTGTCATGTAATAATAATAACTTAAGTTCAGCTGCTTTGCATGAAATTAAACCAGTTTAAGCTCATACACTGGATGGACCCAGCTCTAGTTGCGGCACCATATTTGGTGCAATTAGTAAAAACAAACCCAAGTTATGTAGCTAGCAAGCAAAGTACAATAATACAAATCTGTATTTATTTCACAACAATTTACAATATCCCAATCGAAAAAGACAGCAAGAGTGAGTTTTCCATACATCATGGCCTATACCAGCAGATGCAGCTCTACAGGATGTAATCAATATCAACCAAAGCGTTGCCTTGATGAAAAAAGAACCACTGGTTGTCTGACCTCTGACAAATTATATAGATAGAGGATAGACATGACCAATCAAATGGCAGAGTCACCATGGAGCCACATTTTCTAGCTCATTAAATCATCCATATCAAATTCAAGAACTGCAAGCACCAAGCAGTTCAATCTTTTTTCACCTGCCAGTTTAATCAGGCAGTCACATCTTAATCTGACTTTGATGACCTCAACTAATTTGTCAATTTCCAGTGCGATGCAGGGCAGAGAGTATAGCAGTCTCATTATATGATATTAGTCCAAATCCTCTTTCCGTTACAACCACATTTGTCTCATCACCCCATTGACTTCAGTCAATTTTTAATCTCCACCAGAGACTGCCCATGGATGAAACATAATACCTCTAGCTGACACTGTGGAGGCTGGCACATACACAAACCAGAATGCCAATTATCATCGTGCCACCCAGTAGAATGCAGTAGAGGGAGCAGATTTCCAGCACTCTTAATGAACCCAGCGCTGACTGAATCTCCACTTTTTTATTGTGGCCCGGGCCATGTGAAGAGCTCAGAGTGAGACGAGGTTAAATGAGGCTAAAGCAGATTAAACTAGTCTCTCGAGTACGACAACCACTGCTTTGATAGGCCGACTATGAGTCATTTCAGTGGCTCCTTAGCCTTTGACCCCTGTGCGATATTGGCTCTCCACTGGATACTGTGATTTACATTGCAAATACTAAACTGAAGACATTTATTACTGTAGTTAAGAGAGGTGTTATGCCACTGATTGAGGGAGAAAAGGCATTATGGATGTAGCAGAAAGGAGGTTGCAGGAGCTCAGACTGAAGGAAATCTTTGTTAAAACATGCAATAAGCCCGTCCACTCATTTCATTCAGCCGGAATCACAAGTGTTACACAAAGTATCACTTGTGAATTGTTATCAGATGACATGCACCATTAAAACGAATCGGAAAGATGAAATTGCGCATGCTCCTCCAGACCAGTTGTTGGCGTATACACCTTTAGCTGTTTTTTTAAGAAGTAGAAGCAGATAACAAAGTGGATGCTTGTTTTGGAGAGGTTGTGTGAGGAGATCTGCTGTTACCTACATTTATATAACTTTATAGGAACACAAAGACAGCCAAAGGGTGTGAAGGCTAGGGTGAATTATGCCACGCAAGCACGTGCACGTTTATGCGACCGGTACAAGTCAGCGACTGTTCGAGTCAAGTAAAAGTGGGATCCTGGCGGAAGATTCAACCAGAAGAAGTCTCTATAAATCTTCCTCTAGCAACCGTCTCAGACACTGTAGTCCACAAACTAACAGATGAAAGAGACTCCCTTCATTTTACTCTCTGGTCAAACTAAACTTGTACCATAGAACAACCAATGCTCACTAAAACCCACAGACATTTATATTCTCAGAGGGAGATGAATCACATCCAATCTTTTCTAATTTTGCCCAGTACAAAAAGTAATGTGGTATCCATAGCCTGGCTTCAAATGTTCAGCCATAACTAGAGATGTCAATGGTGAGCCTTCCTTTGAGGCCCAACAATAAGCTCATAGAAAATAGAATTGTATATCCACAGCTCAATAGTAAATTGCTTCGTGATGACACTAAAAGTGATGAGCGATGATTATGGGAGCAGAAGTTTATTGGTAGAAAGAGGCCATGGGGAAACATGCCGAGAGAGTCTGATAGAATTGTTGTGTGAAGGACGGCGATGCAGTGAAGATGGGAAACGCTCAAAGATGACAGATTTACAGAGGTTAGTTTTCATTTCATCTGCAGACTTTTTCTATGGCACATCTCAAACAGAGACTTGAAATGGACAAAGGTACCTAACACAACACAATTCAAACTCAATAGTTTTGAGTTTGAATTCATACTGTGCTATGCAATGAATACTTCAATAATCCACAGACCTTCGTCTGCCACCTTCATTTATAGATCACGCATAAGAACACTGAAGATGAAGGCCCAGCATGTCAAATGGTCAGTTCATGCACACGACCAAATAATCTCATCACTCCATCCATGCAGACTGTTTTGGTTTATAGTAACCTGTCTCTGAGGTTTGTGCCTCCTCCAAAACCAACCTGTTAAGCGTGGAATATTAGCCTTGATAACCTGTCATGCCGATGCCACACTGTGCAGTTTTGAGGATGGGTTTGCTGAAAGTTTTCAAGCCTTTCAGAATCAGATGGGATTGTTTTTGTTGTTAGAGTAATCTTCTCAAAAAAAATCTAAGTATTTCCAGCAAGCATGGCACTGCTACTGCCAGCGCTCAACAGCTAATTCTGTCTGTCTAGAAAAATAGACAACACGCACCTCCAGTTTAGTAAAACCGCTCATGTGTCTTCTGTACAGTTCTGGTCCAACAGCGTCTACATTGCAGATCTTTCTTCATGTGGGTTAAGATGTAAAAGGTTATGTCAGATTTCACTCTTCAGAGATGTAAATTATTTTAAGTGTAATATTCCCATTTTGGCTGTGATGAAACAACTTTGAAAGAATAACAGTAAACATGTGAAAACATTAAATAAAAAAGGATCCAGGTTGCTCAGCAATACAGTTCAGTTACAACTTAAAATTTAAAATGTCTAATGGAATTAATCCCAATACATTGACATTATGAGGCAGCCTCCTCCTCCCAAAACACATGTAGGTCTTTATCTCTTTTTGATTCTTATTTGGTGCCAATAAACACATCCAGATTTTGAAATATTTGTTGCTTTCCTAAGATATGTTCCCTGACATTTCCAATAGTGAACATTGGTAGAATCATGTTTTGAGTGGAGTATCCCTTTTACTTTGTAACATGATATAATACCGTCACCGCTGGTTGGATTAACCAATAATCTTTATAAAGCCATATAGAAGATGAAATAATAAGTGGATGATGTTTATTAACATGTTAAGGAAGCTGAAGTGGGAAGATCATAAATAGCTCAAGACCAGTGTGCGAAACACAGGGGACTCTGGGGGGTCCAAGACCCCTTGATTGACACTTCAATGTTAATTGTCTTAAATCACGAGACATTGTTTGTCACTAAAATGTCTGTTAAAAAGCTTGCTATTGCCCAGCCGTTTTCATTATTCATACTGCTAAACATTTATTCACAAATATTACTGAATGACACGCAGCCAGAGCAACAGGACCACGATCACCACACTGCTCAAGACCAATAATACTTATCACCATCTTCACAAAGCAGACATTCCTGTCCTCTCTCCAACAGTAGAATGAATGTGTTGAGTGATAGAAAGACTTATTTACAGTACTGGAGAAAAGAGTGTTTGCAGCACAGTCAGTTACTTCAAGTTGGCAATGAATGTTTAGTCTTTGTGAGGTTTCCATCCGACGTGACCTGCTACACTGTAGTGAATGACATGCAACAGAGGCCCCCAGCCGCACTCACACCGTGCAACTAGCCTGTCCATAAACAACCCATTGGCTGTTGCTTCAACCTGAATGAGAGGACAGCCAATCACAAAACTGGCCCTGCTTGTTTATATGGTCAAATTAAAGTGGGAAAATGTGAAATAAAACCACTTTGGATTAAGGGCATTTTAAATCAAATTAAAGCTGCGAGCAGCGATGAACGGGCCCTCGCAATCTGCAGCGCGTCGGGGGTGCCAGCGGGACTCCGGCCTGCGCGTCCGAGAACGTCCGCGACCGTCGCGACGTTTTTAATCCCGCGTGGACCGCCTGATGCTGGAAATGATGCTTTGCAAATAGTCTGATGCTTCCTGTAGCCGCTCCCTGGCGCTACAGAACACGTGCATTATGTAGCTCTATATCAAGTGTAAAAACGCAGATTTCCTTTGGCCAGCAGGTGGTGCTGTGAGTATTAGGGGAAATTAGCTTGTAGACATCCTCAGGCCATGAGTTTTATCAAGCATGTGAAGTTTGGGACCGTTTGGAACAAGTCCAGCTGAGTTACATCAGCTTTTTTCATGGGGAATCACATAAAGTAGCCACCCGCTACGGCTAAGCCATTCCGTTAAACGTAAAGCTTTTGATAACTTTTAAATCATAATGGTCTTGACATTCTACTGACCAAATTTGAAGAGGATCAGACAAATTCCCTAAGAGGAGTTTGTTAAAGTATAGCGACTAGAAATAGGCCAAAATCGATGGAAAAATTACACAAACATCAAAATGGCCAACTTCCGGTAGGGCTTAGAGCACAGTCCCAAGAGACTTATATTTAAGTCTCCATAGGATACATCTGCCTGTCAAGTTTCATACATGTAGCTCAAACGCAGCGCTGGGGCTGCTCTTT